CCCGCCGCTGCCTCGCCGGCCATGGCCAGCTGAGTGGCACTGGTGCTGCGCTGCTCAGCTGATCCCCGGTGGGATGGGAAGGAGAGCGGGGCCGTGTACGTCACTGCCCCCCCTTTCCCTCCCGCTATGGCATTCATCTAAGTGCTGGGCCCAATCAGCTGGGCCGCAGGGGGGAGCCAGCAGCGCAAGGGGCCGTTTGGGCTCCCCCAGGGTAGAAGGGGAAGGGAGGGTGGCAACGTACAAGGCCCCACTCCCTGGCCATATATGCCACCATCTCACTCCCCTCCCTCACAGCAGCCCGGCTAAACAGGCAGCACTCAGCCAAGTGCCATAGCGGGAGGGAAGGAGAAGGGGAAGGGGAAGGGGAAGAGGAGGGGGAAGGGGAAGGGGAAGGAGGGCAGGAAGAGACAGAGGGAAGAGAGAGGCAGGAGGAGGAGGAGAAGAGAAAGAAAGAGATGAAGAGAGAGGCAGTAGGCAGGAGGCAGAGGAGAGCTGGGCGAGGGAGGCAATAGGAGGAGAGAGAGAGACAGAGCTCAAGAGCTCAAGAGAGAAGATCTGAAAATCCCGTTTTATGACGGGCTAATAGGCTAGTCAGATAGGGTATGTCTACACTACCACCCTAGTTCGAACTAGGGTGGTTAATGTAGTCATACGAACGTGCAAATGAAGCCCGGGATTTGATTTTCCCGGACTTCATTTGCATGTTGCCGGGTGCCGCCATTTTTAAATGTCCGCTAGTGCGGACTCCATGCCCGCGGCTACACGCGGCACGAACTAGATAGTGCGGACTAGGATTCCTTTTCCGAACTATCGTTACACCTCGTTCCACGAGCCCTTTTCAGGTAGGAATAAGAAATCCTCTGGAAAAGGGCTTATTTTCTGGAGAATTGCGTCTAGACTGGCGCTTTTCTCCGGCTTATCCCCAAGCTAGAAAAAAGCGGCAGCCATGTAAATGTAAATGCCGCGGGGGATATTTAAATCCCCCGTGGATTTGCAATTCCGAAGTGTCACATTAGCATCCCTTTTCCGGAAAGGGATGCCAATGTAGACACAGCCATATTGTGTTAGCTCAGTGGTTCTCAACTCATTTCAGTCTACGGACCACCAGGCCAATCAAAAAATTTTCATGGACCACCTCCTTTTTGAGACATGATAAAAAAGAGCAGACAACGAACATTTTGGTTTGAAATTTATTTTTTACTAACAGATTTTTGGATTCTCTTCTCACTGACAAGCTTTTCAATGTTTGGAGTGGTACTTGATAATG